GCCCCCCCCCCCCCCCTTTTTCCTCCACTTTACAACACTAATACCCACAGTGTCATTTACTTTGCACATTTCTCTGAAATATGCTTGCACTTAAAGCAAAACAGAGGGCAGTGTGGCTCAGAAAAGTAACCTGCTGCTATTCTGGCACAAAGTCTTCTGTACTGGGATTTCAGCATCAAAATGATTTAAAGCCAACGTTTTTGTAATTGTCCCCTCACTATAACAGTAAACGGCTGTGTGGAACTTGGCTGTTGCTCTGGGTAAAGGTGCCTGTGGAGTAGGAGAATGAGGTCTCAGGTGCTTCACAACAGAGGAGCTTGGGATTTCCTGTCTCCTGTTGAAATGACAAACCAGTTGTTTTGGCTTTTGAAATACTTTCCCAGGTTGAGGTGAAAAAAACAAACATATTGTAGATGTTTTAATCCTACAGGAGCTGTAAGGAAGAAATATTTACCACCCTCGCTTTCCCATGGTAGACATATTTTCTCTGCGAACAATAACTGTAGTTCATGGGAGATTATTGGAATGCAGAAATAATAGTGTGCACACTGAGGATACGTTCTTATACTTTGCGTCATCTGCTGTTCAATTGTGTAAAGGAAGTTATTGTATATTGTTTGACAACTTATTTTATAGTTCTTTTAATAACTCTGGAATCGGGTTACTGTAATCTTAGTCATTTATCCATCATCACCCTCTCCATAATTGTGTATTCTCTGCACATGGCTTTGTACTTGTTAAAACAGCAGTGCATATCAACGCTAAAGTGTTTGCAATGAATGTATGATTTATGTGTCGGATGGGCTACTGTAATGTTTGTATGCAATATTATTCGCATTGATTTCTGCTGTGATTTATACTGTTGATTGCTTAAAATGAAAACATTCCTGCCTTCTGTGAAAAGGACAGCATCTTTTTAATATCAACTGCAGATAAAAATTCTTGTCAATACAAATCTGTTGACTGTGTTGACTTTGACAAAACTGTTTTTGACATTTTATGTATGATTGATATATGAATGGACGGACAGACTGATGGATGAACAGATAGATAGATAGATAGATAGATAGATAGATAGATATAGATGAATGGACAAATTGATGGATGGAAGGATGTACGGGTGGATACATATATCGATTGATGAATGGACAGATAGATGGTTGGATGGATAGATTGACAGATGGATGGACGGGTGGAGGAATAGATGTACTGGTGGATGTATGGATGAACAGATGGATGGATGGACGGATGGATTGATGAACTGATAGATAGATAGTGAAACGGTTTTCTTTCTTTTTTTTTTTTTTTTTACTGATTTGTGTGATTTTTAACTTGACTTGTTTCTAAGCTTGGTGAAGTTGGCCTGTGTTTAAAGGGAGGGCCTCCTGACTCTCTCTAATTGGCACTCCAATCAGCAGTGGGAGGCAGTTTTAAAGGCGTCTCCCTTCTTGCAGGCGCTTGTAAAACAATGAACGTCTTTGAGTGTGGACAATTTTGAATGCAAGCAGGCTGACAAGCGGGGAAACTTGCATTACCTTCCCCTGCGATGATCCCCTGACTGAATGCGCTCAAGAGCGAAGTCAGGGAACTTTCCATTTTGCTCTGACTTTTTTTTTTTAATGTAAATCCATTTGAACTTGGCGACAACAAGCACATTTGCAGCTCCTTCAGATCTGCGTTTCAAGGTCTCGGAGGAAACGGGAGCGGTGAGCCAGCGCCACGAAACGGATTATCGACGATCGTTCACGGCATCACACAGCTGGTTTACTTTACACGATCCGCCCGGGTCACTGTTAAACCGGGTTGCCCGTAAGAACAACAGAGAAAGACAATTTTGCACATAATTCGATTTAACTGCATTATTTGAAGAGCTTGTGGAACTGGCCCGCAAGTGTTGAGCAACTTTAAAAGCAATGGTGGGAAGACTGAACTTGCGGAATGCGTGTGACGATGATCCGCTGGATATGAATTTGAAAGCTGATCGGCCGCTGGACAGTCCTGACTCCGGTCTGCCTCCGAGTCCGAGCCCGAGTGTTTGGTTACTGCAGGGCACCGGGGCTGGAACCCCGATTACAGAAGACGAGAACAGAGGGACAGCTGTGGTATGATTCCTTAATGCAAATCCATGACATTTAATAGTACAAAAAGTACATTAAATATTTATATGTATGAATATAAACATTATTTAAATGTATTTAAAATACAAAATTAACGCAATATTTAAGTGCTTTTGTAAAAATAGTAATATTTTAGTTTATTTTTTATTTGTGTGTTTATATATATATATATATATATATATATATATATGTGTGTGTGTGTTAATTTGTAATTAGTTCAGTTAATTTGTATTTACTGTACATGTTACTTAAATAATTTTTTTAATATATACATATTTGTTTATTAATTATTTATAAAGCAATACTTAAAAAAAAAACGTAATTACAGGTTCCTAATAATCGCCAGTTGCATGCGTTGTCCTATGGAGAAGGAATTGAACTTGATCCTCTGCCACTAAAAGAAATAAGGTGAGTTAATTTTTTTCTTTTTCTTTTTTTTTACTGTGACTATCACATGATTTGGGGATTTGGGTGATTTGCTCTGGGCAGGTGCAGTTCATATGTAGCACTAACTTGTTACACGTGTTCTTACAGATACACGTCGTCAGTGCGTTATGATTCAGATCGGCACTTCATCCAGTACGTGACCCTGCAGCCCAAGGGTTTGGGTCTGGAGATGTGCAGCCAGACGGTGTTGGCCCTGCCTCAGAGCACCTGGAGACATTACAAGACCCAGCTGGAGTTCCAGCCCCGTCAGCGGGTGCAGCGCTACCAGAGCACCACTATAGTGTACCCCAAACACACCCGGACCTTCTACACCACCCAGCTCAATTATGATGGGCATAAGCTGACCAAGCGCTTCTTCTCTGCTGTAGAGCTGCAGGCTTCTGATTGCCAGGCTGGTCTTTGAAAGACACTCGGTCATCTGTGCCTGACATTACACCCCCATATGTACCAATTATAAACCACCGCCTGCATTCATCCCAAGTCCCAAGAGGAAAAAAAGGAAACTCGGACTGAAATTGTTGACAGTTGGAAAGGGGATCCCTAGACAGATGTGCAGTTTTAGTTTGTTTTAGGCTGAAGGTTTTTTGCTGTGGCAGGTGCAATTCATATGTAGCACTAACTTGTAACACGTGTTCTTACAGATACACGTCGTCAGTGCGTTATGATTCAGATCGGCACTTCATCCAGTACGTGACCCTGCAGCCCAAGGGTTTGGGTCTGGAGATGTGCAGCCAGACGGTGTTGGCCCTGCCTCAGAGCACCTGGAGACATTACAAGACCCAGCTGGAGTTCCAGCCCCGTCAGCGGGTGCAGCGCTACCAGAGCACCACTATAGTGTACCCCAAACACACCCGGACCTTCTACACCACCCAGCTCAATTATGATGGGCATAAGCTGACCAAGCGCTTCTTCTCTGCTGTAGAGCTGCAGGCTTCTGATTGCCAGGCTGGTCTTTGAAAGACACTCGGTCATCTGTGCCTGACATTACACCCCCATATGTACCAATTATAAACCACCGCCTGCATTCATCCCAAGTCCCAAGAGGAAAAAAAGGAAACTCGGACTGAAATTGTTGACAGTTGGAAAGGGGATCCCTAGACAGATGTGCAGTTTTAGTTTGTTTTAGGCTGAAGGAGAGTAAGCAACTGTGTTGCTCTGTTTGAAGGTTTGGTTAGGAGCAGCGTATGGAGATTTGTATGGGTTTTCTCCATCAGTTCTCAATGGTAATGTACAGAAATGGTTTTTAATTGTATGTAGGAATGTGGTTGATTATTTAATAGTGAGATTCAAGTTTCAGATATTCTGTGCTGATCTTGGACCATCATTGGTTTGAAGGTTAGATTTAATGTTGACACATAGTTGGCCGATATAGAGATATGTGATTTACTTGAGAGCACTTATTTACCCCATCATAAATTGAGTATTAGAATAATACAATAGTGGATTTTAGGACTGGGCAGGGACGCGGGAAGTAGAGGTGCTGAGGGGGCTGCAGCACCCCCTGTTTTCACATGGTTGCAAATGCCACGCCAAGTTTGTTCATTTAAATTTATTCAGTTTTAGCATTTAATAATTTATTTGTAATGATCTCTGAAATGTAAATTGTAAGTGGGCTATAATAAACCCATGTTTATCTTTATAAACATGATAAATTTTACTTGTGATGTTTTCTAAATGGGATGATTAGCCTAATCCTCATGAACACGTGACGCTAGCGCGCGTGGTATCAGACATGAACCATACAGAAAGCAAACAAGATTAACTTTAATACACGGAGATAATGGCGCAAAAGCGAATTTTAGATTTGTTTAAATGCCCATCCCAGCAACATCAACATTCCAAAATCGGCATCCAAACTACAGCCCCAGCACGAGCACCGACGTAAGTGAACCAGCCCCCCGCCACCCAACACGGACACACACAGCACCCCCAACCGAAAACATCTTCCCGCGCCCCTGGGACTGGGTTACAACGGTGGATTTTTTTAGTACATACCTTTTACATGTTTCTATTTAACAGGTTCAATCTCACTGAGCTGTAGAAGGGGTAACGTTCATATATTAGGGCCTAAAAAGTGTTTTCTGAAAATACAGGGTATGTTAGTGTGTCTTTGCACAAGGGTGGTGAGTGTATCTGGGTTAAAACATTAACTCCATCTTAAACCAACCTTATCTGCATATTTTACTACTGTAAGTCTCCATTAGGACACTTATGCTGTTATCCATATTTTCTTTATGTAAAGGCTAGCTAACTTCCACAGCTCTGCTTGGATTTAGTAAGTCGTTCTCTGTGTTGTTACTCGTGAAGGATAAATTAGAAGTAAGGTCACATTAGAACTAAACTCAATCGTGCCTGATACTGCAGACAGAGGTATCTGTAGACCAGTGTTTGAAATAAATTATAATGTAAATAACAGCATTTCAGTTTAAAATGTTTTTATCAGTGGCACATTTCCCTATTTATTTTTTGTTCTTGTTTCAATTCTCTTTACTTCTGTGCTGGTTTTAAATTCTGTAGCTGTGCTGTGTAAAATTGTTATTCTTTTAACTCAAATTCCTTTAAGATGGTTATTAACTGTTCAAATTAAATAAATAAATTTTTAAAGTGACGTGCATTGTCCTTAATGTTTGCATTTTTGCATCATGCTTGAAAACAAGACCCTAGTTCAAACACAAAGTAGTGCAACTAGTAATCTTCTCATTTGTTGTTCTTGAGAGCCCCCTAGAGGTGTGAGTAAGTTTTACAGATATAGTATTACAAATATGGCCTTAAATGCAGATTAAACATGAAGGCAATTGTTTTCAAGTCTACATGGTATAATGTATAAGTTTAACTAATACAAGCACTTGACTGGCTGTCAGGTCAGGCCAAGCTCTTCATGAGATGATCTTGAGCGGCCAGATAGCGCTTCCTTCTGTTGGTTTTATACATCTCAATCCTCTTTTCTTCTTCTACAGGGTTGGCCAGCACTCCCACCCACCTCAGACTCTCCTGGGACTGGCTCATGGCTGCCTTTGGTGGCATGTTTTTATATTGGTCAGGCCTAGCTACGGATACCGACAAATGTTTGTGTTGTCTACTTCCTTTTTGCTGTTTACAGGTCTTCTGGGAGCATGTGTGTCCTCCATGCTTGTTCTTCAGCACTCTCATGGTCTCACGTGTTGCTTGTGTAGACTGTATAGAGGCTTTTTGTCTGTTATAAAGGTTTCAGCTAGTGTTGTTTTCCGCTGAATTGTCTCAAGGGTTAACCCTCTTGTGATACCTGAGAAGGAGACAATGTCAAAAGTCCTGTGATTTAGATCATTATGTTAATGTTAAATTATTGTGAAGATGCCAAAACTAGTGGCTGTACAGCATCTTTCCTATATTCATTTACATTTAGTCATTTAACAGACGTTTTTATCCAAAGCGACTTACAAATGATGACAATAGAAGCAATCAAAACCAACAAAAGAACAATAATATGCAAGTGCTATGACAAGTCTCGTTTAGCCTAACGCAGTACATGTAGCAAGGTATATATATATATATATATATATATAACACACACACACATATACACACACACACACACACACAATTTACTGCATTTTAACAGACTGTTAGGCAAACTACAGGCCATTCATTTCAGACAGCTAAACAATGAAATATTTTCATGCTCTCAGATATGAGTGCAGCAGCTCCTACCAGCTTTTATCCAAAGCGACTTACAAATGATGACAATAGAAGCAATCAAAACCAACAAAAGAACAATAATATGCAAGTGCTATGACAAGTCTCGTTTAGCCTAACGCAGTACATGTAGCAAGGTATATATATATATATATATATATATATATATAATAAAAAGAAAACTAGTAGATAGTATAGAAAAAGAATAGAGAAGGCTAGTGTTACTTAGAGGCCCCTTTTTCCTGAGTTAAACTACCCACCTGTGTTAATATGAGAATGAAATGGTCTGATCTGATGTGTTCTGATCCACAGTTATGTTTCTTGGTCGTTGTTTTATGAGAGTTAATATGCTAATTTTATTTAAATACTGGAAACAACTACAACTATTGTATACTAAATATATCTCCATGGCAACTATACCGGAAATCTACAATACATTTCCTAGTGGAAATATAAATAAATTTGATCGATTTCATTATGGTTTATTTTTCATTTAAAATGTGCGAACGTGTCATTTTTATAACAGTGTTTTGTTTTGCAGAATTCATAGGAAGTGTTTTTGCTTATCCATGCAGAACGTCTGTTTTTTATCAGTTGTGGCTTTGTAATGAAAGCATTGAAGTGGGCGGGGCATAGAGCATTAGCCAATCGAATACATTTGTAGCAAACAAAGAAGTTCAAGGGGGCGGGATATTGTAGGGAAATGTTCGAGCATGTCGTATGCCAAATAATACAACTTCGGAATATAATGTAAAACAACTATAACAAATATACAAGCGTGTATATTTTATATACATTATTATATTATGTTCCTGAAACGATGGTGTAAAGATTAGAATGGGCAGAGCTTCTTGAGTTTCGTTTTCAGATGGATGCGTCTGGATCACAACAACTGTTCGATGACTGGGACGATATTAGCGACTCGGAATTTCTCAACATCCCTTCCGAGCAACAAAACATAGGTAAAATAGTGTGTAATTTTGGTAATTTGTTGTGAATTTAGTCATACTTTTAATTTTGGACACAGGATGGCACTGTCGTATTATGTGTGTAACTTCGTATGTTTGTCTATAATCTGATATCTTTTTACCTGTGTCTTATATTTCCACTGAAAATAATAAGGTACATAGTTGTTAAAGTTTATACATACAAACAATGTATGTTTTATGTCTTTCGAGAGCCCCAGTGTCATCTCAATAGTGAATCTGATGGTAAACACTCGGTGAACTTTGATAGCCCCTGTGCGTCCATCTCATCATCAGTGCACAAGTAAGTCATATGATGATGGTTTGTGGAAAATTGTTAGATGGTGTGTGCAGACATGGAACCCAAGTTATTCTACTGAACTGCAACATTTGTTATTTCTTTGTTTTGTCACATAACATTGTTCTTCTATTCAGCAGGAATGAAGAGGCTTTGGGACAAGAAACTGTAAATACAGAAAATGTGAGGGGTTTAAAGAGAAAATGCCTTCATGAAAACCGCTTCAGCCCAATGCAACGCTTCTTCAAGCGGCATCTGAGTGTGACCCTCCTGTGCGACCAGTCTTGGTGTGAGATGAAGACTGTTTACGGTCTTTTAAAGCCATTTGTCAAGAGAAAGGAAATGCAACGTGCTGAGGTGCAGATCGGAAAGGAAATTCATTTATCAAGAGGTGAACACTGATACACATTTGAACACAGTGCAACATAATATCTCAATCATATTCAATAATCCGATCCATGAATTTAATCTCCAGAACGGGAGATTCAGGACGTTGTCCCTGTAGATATCTGCACTAGAGAAGATGCAGAAGCCATCAAACTTCTCAACATGTTGCACATGATACCGCTGTTGGAAGCAGGTGAGTTGACAAATGTTAAAACAGTGTTAGGTTTGGTACTCAGATCAGTTTTAAAGGGGTCATATGATGTTGCTAAAAAGAACATTATTTAGTGTATTTGGTGTAATGAAATGTGTTTATGTGGTTTAAGGTTAAAAAAACACATTATTTTCCACAAGCGCTACTCTACACTGCTCAAAACTCGCGCTTTAAGCGTCAGTCGCAAATTCTTTAAATATAAAAAACCTACAGTCTGTGTGTCAGAACAGCCGGCATTGTAGTCTACTCTACCAGGATCAGGAAACAGTCCTCCATAAAATGT